GGTATGATAACAAAAACCGGAGCAAATGGTCTGAACACTTTTGTCGGCACCTTTGCTTTGCCATCTTTAATTTTTATGTCTTTGGCAAAGCTCCACTTCACACTGGTTAATTGGAAATTTCTTCTTGCTGTATTGTTTGCCAAGAGTTCTGTCTTTATTACCGTGCTTATGGTTTCATCAGTAACTCAAAAACCATCAAATCCTGGACGCGCTGCACTTTTTGCAATATTCACTACTCAGAGCAATGATTTTGCTATTGGATATCCGATGAGTAAGAATTAGATTTCTCTACATTTCCATAATGTTTTATATTCAATGTGTTTTACGTTAGATGTTGTTCTTTTTAGTTCACGCCCTTTATGGAAGAACACATCCAGAATATGCTGCTTATCTGTATTTGATGGCTCCTATATCATTGGCGATTTTAAACCCAATTGGTTTTATATTACTAGAAATAGGCAAGCGACGTGTAGAAGAGCACACAAATTGTAGAGACATGGTTTATTCGATTGTCAAGGGTGTCGTGCTGAATCCTGTGCTTTTTATGACAGTCTTGGGCATTATAGGAAATTTTATCTTTAATCACAATGTACCGCGTTTGCTTGCTACAATTCTCGAGGTGCTCGGTAATGCTTTCTCTGCTAGCGCTTTGTTCCTGCTCGGTTTAATGATGGTAGGAAAAATACACAAATTAAAAGGTACAGCGTTAGTTATACCAGGTATACTGATCTCGGTAAAGCTGCTAGTCTTGCCTCTAGTCATAAGAGAGTCTATTATTCTCTTGAATGCCGGTGATAATGTCACTGAAACGAGAAATTTAAGCACATATGGCTTCCTGTATGGTACTATTCCGACAGCGCCGGCGCTATTTATTTTCACTTTACGATACAATACCGAGATTGACTTAATTGCGTCAGCTATGGTAGCTTGTACATTTCTCTCTGCTCCACTTATGTTCATATCGGCTAAAGTGATCAATGCAGTTTCTGCTGGAAATACACCAGCTAGTTATGCAAAGCAACTGAATATCTTTTCCTTTGATATAAGCGTTGCATCAGCAACAGCTTGCATATGGTTGTTAATATGCTTCCTTGGATTTGGACGGAAAAGATATAATAAAGTTACTCACAGATGCACTTTATGCCTCGTAATTGCACAGGTACAAATAGGTGATAAATTATTGAATATATTTTTTTTTACGTATTCAGTTTTTCATAAGCATATATTTCTATATGTTGTACAGTTTTGTACAAAATATTTTTTATTCATTTTCAGCTTGCAATAGCAATAGGTGTGATAATATGGTCAAAACTTGACTCAAATAATAATCAGACAATATTATGGTAATCACAAAACTTTTTAAATGATTATTCAGTAAAATTCGGTTTTATCAAATAAAATTTTATTGATTATTCTTGTTATAATTACAGGTACATCCAATTTATTTTAATAACTACTGGTGTATATGCAAGTAGGGTATGGACAGCTGCAATTGCAGCAACATTACTATTCCTGAGTTCACGTTCATTATCTTTTGTTGAAAATCTACAAAAATGGTTTTATCCTCTTGGATGGGGGTACGATTATTATAGTTCATTTTAATTTTTAAATTACTTATATTATTGTTATCTACTATATATATTTTAATTTATAGATTACCACTTCTAATGGTGACATTAACATGCATCACTGTTAGATTAAATCCGTCTGATCTTGATTTTAAAAATCCTAATTTTCAATTAGGCAGAACTCAAGCAGCTATATCTTCATTTATATTAATATTCTGCTTTATAGGTATGTTACAAAAATATATGTTTTATATATATCATATTTTTAATGAGAATTTCAAAAGTTATTATTTGTCAAATTACTGTATTCAAATTATAATTTTTCGAAAAATAATTATTACATAATTGTTAAGATAGTTGTATTTAAAATTTTATAAGGTAAACATCCTAGTAACCAGACATATGTATACACTTATATCCAGATACTTACAAAAAATTTATTATTAATCTCAGATGCTTTGTTTATTGCAGTATTATAATATATGTATATTTAATTATTATATATTTAAAAATTACAATTAAATTATAATATTACGTTAAAAAAAACATTTCAAATTAATAATAATTGATAATTTAAATAAATAATGCTCTGTGTAAATGTCCGGACATAGATATATGTTTAATTATTAGGACATTTACCCTATTTAAATTTCATAATAATTATTTTTCTGCTCATAGTGACATTAGGTTGTTTGATCTTACAACAAAGATATCAAAGAAGGAACAATACGATGTCACATGAGCATCTAAGGAACAATACACAACATTTCATAACTGAAAGTAATGAAAGGACCATAGTAGATGTGGAAGACTTAGTGTCTCCATTAATTAATTCAACATCTAGGTAAGTTAACTTCAAGTAACGGGGTGTACGTAACTATAAAGAAATTTATAAATTAATGTTGATATAAAAACTTTTAGAATTGGTTGTGAATTTCAAAATGGTTGTTCAAGTGAAGCATGCAGAGCTAATGAAAATGAAAATGGCTGTGAGGAAGAAAATGGAATAAACGTGGATGACGATCCTCAAATTTTGCGACATCTGGTTTTTCTAATTTTGTTGTTATGTTCCATGTTTATAGTACGTAAATTATTATTTTCTTGGACATTATCAAGATTGTAAAACTAATTTTGATATATTGTAGGGCTTATCGATATCTGTGGGAACATTAATAATGGAACAGTTAACTGGCATTTATGCTGAGCTTGCATTCTTAGATGTGACTTTGAACTTTGGACAATCATTAATAGCGTTCGCTATTTTTGGATTAGATCCTAGTTTGGGTAGATTAGGATGTTGGCTGCGAAAAATGTGCATTAAATGGCAATCTGGTACAGTACTTTTATGAATATGTGTGCTTTTATATGTGTGTATAATCGATCAATGATATGTGAAATATATATATATTCACATATTATTAATTTTATACGATCAATAATACTTTATAATTTTGATAGGAAAAGAATTACAACTTCCTTGTGAAGAAGCTCTCAGTCCAGAAGTAAAAGAAATTCGAGAACAATTTAATCGATGTCATTTAGATGAATGTCGAGCACGTATATCTATGTGCCGTAGGCGATTGTTGAGAGTATACAGAGGAGTCTTTTCAGGAACAGATTTGGTCAACTGGTTGCTTGAAGTTGGCATTGTTAATAATCGAGAAGACGCTGTGCGTTATGGTCGCTGTTTGTTGGAGAGCAGAGTTCTGCAACATGTTGATGGTACACACCATTTTTATGATCAGAATCTTCTGTATATGTTTAATGTATAGTTCAATTTTTTAATGATTTGATCAAATTTTTCCGATAAAATAATTCCATTCATATTTATGTTAATTTTAAATATTTGAATGAATACTTGAATGGAAAAACAAGAAAAATTATAAATTGTAATGATAATTTATGGCATATAATCAAATCTCTATATTCCTTATCCATTTAGTCTGTGCAATCTCTTTATTCTTGATTTTCAAATTCGTACGTTTTTTCATTTAATGTGCTTTTTTTTTATATTTTGTTTTTCTCTTTTTTTCCTTTATATTATGAATCTTATGCTTGAGCTTATTTTCAACTTATACTATCACATATCACAGCGTCTCAGTCGTTCTATGTTTTATCAATAAATAAAATATTAATTGATATAAAAATTTATATTGATTGAAATATACTAATTATAATATTGATTAATCATATCTTTCAATGATGTTTTTTCGGTGAGAGGTTTGATTATATACGTTCAAAACTTAATTAGTCAACTGAGTTTTATTTATTGTACAGTTTTGTATTAGTATAGTTACTTTTTTATGTGAAGTAACATTCATGTAATGATAATTACATTTATAGAAATATTCCTCAATATATAATTATCCCTGTGAGAAATATTTTATTAATGAAAATGACATCCTTTGAGTATTTAGGTTAATAAAATACGGTATAATTTATGTTGCACAATATATAGTGACATATTCAAACTATTTTTATTAAAGAGCAGCATCAGTATTAGAAAGAGATACTGTAACTATTTTATTATTTAAAATAAGTACAGGCTGTGTTTAGTACATGACATACTGCATTCTCAATACATAGTTTAACAATTAAAGAATTGTCCTATTTTTGTAAAAATCTTAATTATTTATTATACATTTAATTAAGCATGTGATATAAGCATGATAGAAATGATGAACAAACAACAAAAAAGCCAAAGGAATAGTGAAAATATTTAAATTGTCATGGCAATGTTAATTATTATAAGATTATATCGAATGAAATTATTTATAGGAATTGTTAAGAATGAAATATCTTAAGAAATTTATTGTGAATTTGTATGATTTTATATTTTTTTAATATTGTACTTATTATTTTACTTATTAAAATACATTATTATAAATGCTATGTAAGTGAAAGTAATAAATACACGACAATATTAAAAGTGCAATTGCTTATTAATGTACAAAATGATCGCCTTTCTTCCAGATAAGTATTTTGTATGTAAAATATACTGTACATAAAATATTATAATTGTCTAAAAATTCGTGAATTAATAATATTATAGCAAGAAATTTCAAGAAACTAATATTTTTTATTTAAGCAAATTTAAGTTGTTTCGGAAGCGATTCCAAGTTACTAGAAAAGTAAGATTTGAATAAACTGATAACACATTTATTTTTAATTAGTTGTTTCTTAATATTAATTTATTTTATTGGTTTATAAGCATAAATAATAGTATAATTTAAAAAGAATTTTCTTTCTGCACTTCTCACTCTAATCCATATAATTTTGTACATCTCTAAAAATTTACCCTCTGATTCGAAAAAGTTTGTCTCCTAGTGAAATATATAAAATATACACATAACAAACTTTTGTTTTTATACATACATTAAATATATTTTATACAGTCTTCAAGCATACACGAATTCTTTGAGTTTTACAAACTTATATACACAAATCATCATCAGGATCTTCTTCATCTATATCATCTACATCTTCCGGTTGATAAAATATTTTGGATGTATTCGCTGCATTTAAAGTATAGGGTAAAGGTGTCTTGTCTCTTTGTTCCATTTCCTGAGCACTCATTTCTATTCTAAATGATGTTTCAACTTTTACAGGTTCTGTTTCTGGTTTGTGAACGCTTGGTACTGCAACCTTATCAGCAGTGATTTGATAAGATTCAATATCTTGCTTTATTATTTCTGTTTCACATATCACGGAACCACCAGACTTTCTATGAGTGAATCCTGTCATATAAATTATATTGTTTATAGAGCTGTTTTCTGTAAACTTTTCTAACTTGACATAGGTGGTGCCAAAAGTTTCAATTGCAGGAATTCCAATCGGTATGAAATCTCTCCGATAAATGCATATCAATTGTGACACTTGTTTACTTAACTTTTCTATAAACCTAATAGCCTTTTCTAAACCAATGTACATAATCAAAGAACTCAAACAGTTGACAACAACTGTATTCTGAGGTTTCATCTTGATGTTTTTGAGTACATGAGCAAGATTTTCAAAGTCCTTCTTCTCAGCATTTTCATTTGGCTGAACACTATAATAATCATGTATGGTTACTTTTGCAGGTGTAAGTGGTTCATTGTCATACCAAGTTTTTGGATCTGAAAATGATAATAAATCGATACTGTAATCAGGACTTTTTTCTTTCCATGCGTGTATCCATCCAGCTATCAACGCCAATGCATATGGTGTTTCTGAATCTATAAAATATAAAAATCAGTACTTTTTATAAAAATATAAATAAATTATAATATATAACATACAAATTGTGTGTGTTTTATACAATCTATTATTAATAGATAACACACTATAAGCGGAATATAACCAACCTTCATCTATAACAATTACTTTCGTTCCGTCCAGCAAAGGTAATGTTTTTATGTATGATGACATTTTTATGCAAAATACACTGTGTGTAAATTTGTCAATAATGATGTCAATAGTAAAATTGTCAATTAAGGCATGCGATGATGTGTCTAATGTGTAATCCTCATTCAAAGCTGTTCACTCTAAAAATTCGTAGATGTGCGACGCACAAAAATTACGATATTATTTATATAGAATAGAATATTTATTCACTTCCAACATTTTTGACAAAGCCAAGAAGAGGATATTACTAATAGATATATGTTTCTCGCAATTTTGTCAACAAGATATTAATAAATTTATATACGCGCGCCCATTTTTCGTTACACGTGGGTTAACGAGACAAAGCGACATATTGTAAATTTGAAAGATTACTTCTTCGAATGCATCGTATCGAAGAACTTACACGAAATCCTGAGAATAAACATAACCACATCAGCGATCCATTTCGTGACAAATGCGAGAATGAATCATCGAGTGCCCGAAAGATATAAGTTCCAGTTTTTAGAAATTGTCGGTAATCTTTGATAAGAATCAGAAGAGGAGAGATTATCAAGGAATGAAAGGAATTCTAATTTATCTAATAAAAAAAACAGCATATATATACTAATTATCAAGATGTGACGTGTATCGATACCGCAATACCGCACGTTAGGATCGACTTCGGTCGATTCGATTTCCTGTAAGTATCGTTCATAATAATTTTTTCTAGAATCGTGTGAATAATCGTTATTTTATTGCTTCGAAGTAAATCAGAAACTTCCGCTTTCTCAGTTTTTTTAAAATGAAATCGGTATTTCTAATCAATATTTCTAGAAAGAAATGAGTAATATAGAAATATCTGTAAATTGTAATAATAGATTATTGAATGATTAGTTTAAACTTGTTCTTTTTAATACAATACTTATATTTTTATATAATAAATCCTTTTTAAAACATTGTTTTTCTTAATTAAAGGTTCTTTCCTTTCTCTTATTTCTATTTTGATTCTTCTCAATAATTTTATAAAATCGCTATAATCGACAATATATTTTGTATTACATTTATTATTACGTCTTCTTTTGAGATAAACTGTGTTTAGTTCCTATGTTGGTAATCATATTGATTGAATTAACCATCGATTAGCGTTAATCAGAGTTGGTGAAAGAGGCCCTTGAAAGATGCTAAAAAAACTAATTAAAAAGAGTATATTAATACCAATATCCTTCTTTCTTCTTTGGTGATAAATGGCCCTGGGGTTCTATTCTTGAAAAGAAACGTATATGAAAGACACTTTCGTATACGTTTCTTTTCAAGAATAGACCCCCTGGTCCTCTTTGACGAGGTAAACTTGGCCAGTCGCTTCCTAGATAATATCCCTCCATAATATCAATATCCTGTTTGAAGATCGCTCCAAGTCTAAGCTCCAGCATGAACTAACAAATCCACAATGAGCCGCATTGTCTTCCATAACTATAGGCGCCAGACGATTGGTCTGATCAGCTGAGCGCCATCCAATCGCGCGCGCGCATACCGCTTTGGGGGCGTTGTCGGTCGAGGCTGCGTTCGAAAACATTGCTCGAATGCCACCAAGTATCATTGTATCCTTGTTTAACGTTTGGCGAACAACAAGGATAAAGTAATTACTCATATATCACTTGACTAGTCTTCAAACGCGCCTCGATAGGTGGTGCCACGGTCGCAGCCGAGAGGCGGATCACTTCGGCCGTTCGGGTGGGCGAACGTGACCGAAGACATAACGAAAATGAGTGCCAGAGTGTGTGTCACATCGAGGCAGTTTTGCTCGCAATAGGGAGGTTTTATTTTGACAGTGCGATACGCGGGCGGCTAGCGCGATGTATATCACCGCGGCGCGTCCCTGAGCGAAACTGAGTAGCGTCGAGTAACGCGCGTCCGTCGCGTAAGATCAGAAATATCGCCGCTCCGGGTCTCAGCCAGTTAGAGACGAGCGGGCGCGCTGCGTGCACCTGCATGTGTCACTTGTGAGTGCAGTGCGAGCCAGGGACACGTAGTACCTACCTACGCGTTGTTACGCACGAGTAACGCGACTTTGTTATTGTTATTATTGTTGTTGTTGCCATTGTCGCCACATCCGCCATCGCCATCACCGCCATCGTCATCGTCGTCGTCTTCATCGTTTTGTTGTTGCCATTGTCGCCACATCCGCCATCGCCATCACCGCCATCGTCATCGTCGTCGTCTTCGTCGTCGTCGTCGTCGTCGTCGCCGCCGTCGTCGCCGTCGTCGCCGTCGCCGTCGCCGTCGCCGTCGCCGTCGCCGTCGCCGTCGCCGCTGCTGCTGCTGTTGCTGTTGCTGTCGTCGTTGCCGCCGCTGCCGTTGTAGCCGACATCGACGACGCCGACGCTGCCGCCGCCGCTGCTCTCCGTGTGTATCCGCTCATCCCACGAGTCAGTACGTCGCCGGTCGTTGTCGTGGCGAATCGCCCGATACGAGACTAGAAGAGTGTACCGCACTGGAGATCGTCACCGATGAGTTTGGCCTGCTGTTCGCTGCTGCCTTTCTAACTAATCGCAAGCGTGTGTGATGCCCGGGAGCCGCTCCAGCACGGACCCAGAGCACAAGTCACCGCGGGAAAGTGGTGAAGACTCGGAGGATGAGAGCGAGATCCTGGAAGAGAGCCCGTGCGGGCGGTGGCTTAAGCGCCGGGAAGAGGTAACTTGTTTCTACAACCTCTTCAAAGTATGTTTTATCTTTCGTTTCCTCCTATCCTTCGCTCATTCTCTTGCTGATAACTACTCCACTAAGGTAGATTTTTGTATACATACTGTTTTCCATTTTGAACCTGTGGTGCTAGATGTTGGATGGATGGTTTTCTATTTCGAGCCTGTGCTTTCTGCCGCAGCTTGCCAGAGGACTGAAGGATGTTGTAAAAGATCTGTTTGCGTTATTCAAAAATTTTTTTGGAAAATTTTTACTTTTAAATCGCGAGGCGAATGCAGAGTCGGATATTGAAAAGAGAGAATGCGAAGGTTCATGCAAAAAGTGAAAGTAACGCAAATAGACCTGAAGATTTTTGGAAAATTCTATGTGCTTTCAGATATCTTTTAGATATTTTTCCAACTTTTGGTTTTATTTGTTATAGCAGTGACTTATTAGGAATGATGATACTGATTTTAACTGCCCTAACACACCTGTTGATGTTGAAACATGATTGTGATCAATATGGTTGATTTATAATATTGCTATATTAATTTATATTAATGTTAACCATTTGTTTAGCTGAAAAGAGCTTTAAAAGAGCAGTATGTTCTTGTAATTTTAAGTTCATTCTACAATTACATAAGTGTAATTATGAGTGGTTGTAAGAATTGACTAAGAAAAATCTATTACAGTTCAATATTTTTCTCATATTTAACTGTGATTGGTTGATTTTTACAATTGCGATAATTTACAATTACATTTATGCAAATGTAGAATGAGCTCTAAGCCAATCTACAATTGCATAAACGTAGTTGTAAGTGGTTGTACTTGTAGGAATTGATTGATTACAGTTGAATACGAGGAAAATGTCCAACTGTGATTGTAAAATTCTTATATCTACGTGACTACTTATAACTATATATATTCAAGCAAATCATGCTTTACATCCAATTACAACTTACGCTTACATAATTATAGAAGAGACTTTAAATTTCTACTTCTAAATTATGATAATTTACATATTACCCAAAATATTATGTTTTTACTCACATATTATATCCTCGAGATCATTATCTCTATGATATGCATAGCATATCGTAACATAATGTAACTATAATTGTACACTAGATGATAATTATGCACTATGACTTGTACATTTATTTGGACATATCAAAATATGAAAGAAAAGACTCATTTTTATCTTATCTATGTTTCTCTATATCTTAAGCCCTTATCGACATAACAATGTCGGTGTCATTAAGAGTTACAAAATAAGGGTCTTAATCTATGAATGTCTCTTACATATTAAATAATATCTAAAGTAATATGTTTTTATTTACATACCTTTAACATTATTTTATTATCTTTACATACACTACCTAACATAATGCAACTAGATTATAATTATAAAATTTTTATAAATATATTTAAATGTATCAAAATATGAAAGTAAAGATTTGTTCACACACATATCTTATTTATGTTTCTTTATATCTTAATTTATGAATGTGTCTCAAGTAGTAACAATTTTTATTAATATAAATTTATTTATAATGCTTTTGTTTGAATCATGTTACAATAAATATCGGCTCAATTCATTTCATGTTGCATTTATACAGGTGGCTATATGTATCCAGCTGATTTTGTTATAAAAAGGTTTTAAATTATAGAGAATTGCTTTTGCATGAAATATCTCCTTTAGACTATTGTGTGCTTTTCATATTATTTAGTATACTTCATCTGTATCTCTTAACTCACATTCTTGGCACAAATGTCTAACCAATATTTAGATTCATTCATATTTTATCTTAAAAATAGACTGCTGACGTTCTGTTATCGAATGTATAAATCAATGAAATTATTTTGATCATGCTTACCTTGCACGCAGCTCTTCTGCTTAGAAATAAAATAAGCTTTATCGTATTAACGACGTTAATAAAGATTATGCTTTGTTATATATAATTTATTCTATTATTTATTTGAATTTTCTTTTTTACTTGGACTATTTATTCCAATATAAAATATAATTATTGATTATATTTTGTGAATACTTGTCTCACCTATTTTGTATTATCATATTATTTTAATAATAGAAACTAAAACATATTTGTTGTTACAAATAATTTTATTAAGTTTTTTTTACGTTATTTATTGCCATGTGTGCTCCTATATTTTATTATAACTAAAATTTGTAATTGATTATTAATTCTTTTGAGTTATTAGTGTGTATATTTTATAAAGTAAGTATTATGATTTTAGTTTTTTGTATTTTATGAAAAATAATGGCTTTTATGGAATAATAAAGTAATAAAGATATTATTTTTTATGTGTGTGTGTCTGTGTGTACATGGAGATAAATCTTTATATCTGTTTAGTATATTCTTTATTAATTGTGGGATATGTGCCTATTCAGGTATATGTAGGTTCCAAATCAACGTTAGCTGAGGGTTCTAGCTTCGGATCCACACGAGGAACTGAAAACGAAGTTACTGATACAATGGAAGTACGTACTTTGCGATGCAGCAGGCAGAATAATTTCTATGTTTTATTGTATTTACGTTGAGTTATTTTTTTAAAGTATTTTGCACAGAATTATATTCCTAATTTGAATGGAGACAACAACAATTTACATACATTATACTATTATGAACAAGTCCGACATTATTATCGTTAATGTCTACAGTGTGGCAAACCCTCTTCTGAATTATCTCCCCCTCCTCGAATTCTTCACAAGGTCACATTCATGTAATAGTAAATAGGCGTTGAAATCGTTTCAACACCACTTTAAGTACACTTAAAATGGGTGATTACGGTAATACAATCCATTATACTATATATAGACTCATAAATTGCATTGAATAAATCTGCTCAGTCACAGTATGTAGCATGTATTTTCAAAGCGTTTTGACAATGTATTTATATATGTATTTACGCCAAAATATTTAAATAATATTCGAAATAATGTGGAATACCTTGATAATAGTCATAAACTCGAGTATAACTGAATATATTGACTATATAACACTGATTACTAACAATATTATATTGCACTACATGTTTTTGTAATAAATGTATTTTATAGTCTTTTACCTTTTGTGTTAAAATAATTATGGAAATATATAGATTATATATATAAACTGATGCTTGTTTATAGGTGGAACAAAGAGATGTTCCAGGAATTGACTGTGCCTATTTGGCGATGGATACAGAAGAAGGTGTTGAAGTGGTATGGAATGAAGTGCAATTTTCGGAAAGGAAAAACTTCAAGGCCCAGGAAGAAAAGATACAACTTGTTTTTGAGAACCTCACGCAATTGGAGCACCCTAACATTGTTAAATTTCATAGGTATTGGACAGATACCCATAATGACAAACCCCGAGTAAGTAAACTACCTATACGAATTATGAATACAGTTTTCGTTACGTCTATATATAATACAATTTTTATATATTTTTCTATTAATTTTTTCAGGTTATATTTATAACGGAATATATGTCATCCGGGTCCCTGAAACAGTTCCTAAAACGAACGAAACGTAATGTAAAAAGGTTACCTCTACAAGCATGGAAACGGTGGTGTACGCAAATACTTTCTGCACTCAGGTATAGTATAATTAATATACAATATACACGCGTATTAAACAATTTATTTTTGATTTATGTTGCGTTTGAAATGTTTCAGTTATTTGCATTCCTGTTCACCTCCTATTATACATGGGAATCTTACCTGTGACACTATATTTATCCAGCATAACGGACTTGTAAAAATTGGTTCAGGTAAGTACTTATGTAAAAAGAAATAGAATTTTCTTTACGTTGAGTATATAACGTATACAGCAATATCATTTTGTATCTAAACAAAATCGAATAGCTTGTTTGAATTTACATACATTGTATCTAAATTTGTGTATGGTAAACATAGATCATCATACGATAGGATCATTGTTTTCTGAACGAAAGTAATTAAAATGTAACAAGATGAGATTATTTACATATATGTATGAGGTACCTTCTTCTCATTCACAGGATTGTCAAAAGTATATGTCTCTATTTTGTTGTATAATTTCTCATCTTTCACAAAGAACGGCAAATTTTATGCCGACTGCTTCTTTGAGATACAAAGTAGTAATTATATTCTCAGTTCTCTCCTTATTTTGTATTTACATAGGATATCAAGACTCAAATTAGAAGACATATTTTATTTACTTAAATGAGCAAGAAATAACCCATGTTAATATTTTTTTGCTCAATTTACCATATATTTTCTAAGTGTCGAATCTGTTTTTTTTTTTTAGCATCCATACAAAAGTGAAATAGATGTACTCAGAAGTCTTATCGTACATATATATATATATGTACTTTTTATTTACTCATTACTCAGCTGAAATAAATAATAATTATATGACTCAGTTCCTGACTGACATGACAAATAATATGATTCATCATTGTGTATCACATAGGTGCTTCTCTAATGATTCTGGCACACAAACATCACGGAAATATTTATTTACACAAATATGCATACGTATGCTCAGTTATGTCTTACAAAATAATTATTTGTTTTAAATAATTATAATTGTAAGATAGTATCATCACAAATTAAATATTTTTAAAACAAAATTATTATAATGTTTAACAGGGATACATATATTAAACATGATATTAATTTGTAAATAGTTAATTTTTTAGCGCAAATAATGTCTTTATATATATATATATATATGTATATACATATATACATATATATATATATTCATGTGAATGTATGAATACATGTATGTTAAGAACCGAATTGATTATGTAGGAATGATTGCAGTTATATCGAGTTTAATTTAAATGGTGTTTGAAGAATTATTTATAGATGTTAATATTCTATTATAACACGCGTTTTTCCCTATAATTCTATATGTGATGTTAGTAACATGAATCCATTAGAAAGATTGTGTTAAATTGCCTTTTCATATTAGGAGTAACTTGAGTCCTCATTTTTAATTATAGCAAATAGGCTAATCTAGATAATGAAAAAAACACAGCAAAGCCTTTGAAGAGAGAGGAAGTACAAATCGTACTTTCACCCATCCAGAGGATAAGTTCACCAACGTCGGTGTCTGGCTTATTGGTCAATTGGTGTTATTGTCAAAGGTGATGAATTTCAAGAAAAAATCATTTGGCAGATTGTCATCAACTATTGCCAGCTAAGTAAATTAGGCATAGAGAGGTAAACAACTTCTATACTAATTATTAAGTAGCTCCATTAAATGTACAAATAATTAAAATTTATTTTTTTATTATGTTAGTGCCACTATGTTGCACTATTTATCTTGTTCTGGTTATTAATTGTACTTAACTAAGAAGGGCGAAGTGTCTTCCGCGTCTCTTTGTCCTTCTCACAATCACCTAGCGCACGCATTTTCATTGTATTTTAATATGTACATTGCTTTTTTGTTCATATGCTCTATAATTCTCAAAGGATTTACTTTCCAAATTTATACTTCTTCTGAATTCAACAAAAGTAGCTCTTTCTAACAGAACTGTACAATCAACAAAAAAATATGTGATTTTTTTAAATGAAATAATTTATGTTTTATTTGTACATCTCTGATCATCCAAGGAACATACTTCTCTTTTCAGAGACACTTTTAGATTTGTACATGCGAAAACTATTAATTATACGAGGGCTCAAGTTACTTTTAGGATAAATTTTCAGCTGAAACACAATTTTTCTAGAGAGGTTTAGTCATTCATCTTGGCAGCAAACATACGGAATGCGTAGTAAATATTATATATTTAAAATTATTGATGTCCATTGTCTATTGTCTATAATGTCTTCAGGAACATATATTTTGTTTATATATCACACCTACATAATTCTGTCTGGTGGCTGCCCTACAAACAAACTCTAACACATTGTCGAATACGTTCACATTAATATGTCATTTTTATGTTAACGCTTTTCTTTGAATTGAACAGTTTGTAAAAACGACAATGATTTCTTTCTAATTACAGTAGCCCCAGACGCAATTCATCATCACATCAAGACTTGTAGAACAAACATGAAGAATATGCATTTTGTGGCCCCAGAATATGGAAGTAAGTACATTGTTTATTACATACATGGATCACATTTTAAAATATTTTCAAATAATTTGCTATTTTTTTTTTTTTAAGATTCCGTCACACCTGCCATTGATATTTATTCGTTCGGGATGTGTGCTTTGGAAATGGCTGCGCTGGAAATTCAGGGAAATGGTGATACGGGTACAATTGTTACCGAAGAAAACATCCAGAAGACAATAGAATCTTTAGATGATGTTCAACAAAAAGATTTTATTCGTAAATGTCTTCAGGTGGACCCGCTCAGTAGACCGAGTGCGAGAGAGTTGCTATTTCATCCCGTTCTGTTCGAAGTACATTCTCTCAAGTTACTTGCAGCACACGCCTTGGTCAATTCAGCTAGTAAGTTGAAACAAGTGCATAATCTATATGCTATTTAATTTTGATTAAGTTTTTTTTTTAGAATAGTTGAGATAATTACTTGAAGATACTTGTAATGATTGCGATTATAAATCACACATATAACATCTTTTTATAGCTAACATTTCGGAAACAATCACAGACGAAGTGTTACAAAGGCTATATGGACCAGATACCGTAGTCGCCGAAATAAAATATCAAGGAATACCTCCGCAACAAATTCGTTTAAGTGATATTCCTGTTACGGAGAAATTAGAAAAATTTGTTGAAGATGTAAAGTGAGTATCTCAGTTGTGAGATACATCGACTTGGATTTTGTGTCTTATATCGGATAAATTGGTAACCAGAGTGATTTTACATTGCCAGGTACGGAATATATCCATTGACTGCATTTATGGCGAAATTACCTCCGCCTGTCCGACCGAGGGCGATATCGCCCGAAGTGACAGAATCGGTTAAATCGGTTACACCCGAGCCCGTGGACGTGGAGTCTCGAAGAGTAGTTAATATGATGTGTAATGTTAAGCCTAGAGAAGATAGTAGTGAATTACTTGTGAGTGGTCCATAGAACATTTTAGCGAGATAATCTATGGAGTACGTAATCAGTATATTATTAAATCGGTATGTTTTTTTAGATGACAATATTGTTGCGAATGGATGACAAAATGAATAGACAATTGACGTGTCCTGTGAGCCAAATGGACACCTCAATGCTTCTCGCACAGGAACTTGTACATTTTGGATTTATTAATGAGGTAAATTATCTCGCGCATATCGTCAATGAGCGATCTCAATTTGCGAAAGTTTAGTTTGCTTTAGCAAGATTCTTACAACTGTTACAGAACGACCGTGATAAAATAGCCAATTTAATTGAAGAGGCATTGAGGAGATATTTCAACAAGCAAATAGTGACGCCAGGAATGGTATCATTAACTAATCTTCCTACTCAAACTACTTTATTGCTGCCTGATTCGGAATTTTCATGTCTGCAACACTTTGACAATTCCGTGTGTAACGCCACAACATCCAATAGTGATAATGCAACTAACCTGCTGCCAAAAACCTCAGGTATACCTGTGTCAAGTAACAAAACGAGTAAACTTCACGATGATGCAGAACCGCCGACAATCAGCGAGAGCGGTAGTTAACCATCCAGGACGTCTGATAACTCAGTTCACTGTGCCACTTTGCACGCTTTATGTATAGACTGGCTATGTATTTTTATATTTAAGTAAACAGAATGAAGAGGAATGGAAGTAAAAATGGGAGGGTGCCGTGGCTACACCTCTAAGCTAAATACGACTGCAAATTAGGAACTGCTTAGTATATTTACTTTCGTATTTAGGCTCTTAAAGTAATACTTCCGTTGTCAAATTTCGTTGGCCCTCTATATTCTAGAGTTTTTACGTTATACAGGTTCTACCTGTTATATCGTTATATAGGTATGTGACAAAGAATGTATAAATCTAATGTAAAAAGACCAAATACTTGTGATTGTATAATTAAGAGGATAGTTAGAGGTCTGCTGGATATTGATTCATATTTATACGAAGCTACGTACGATTTGATACTTACCTGTCGTAATCTACCTATCGGATACAGTTACGAAAGTTCGTTATGTATCATGTTTCTCATAACATCTCTTAGAATTACAAAATGTGAAAATTAATACGCCGAAATTGTATATCATGCTTTTCATCATGACAACATATTCCATAAAATTTATTTTGTGCGTGCAAATCGACAAGAATTAATTCAATTATGTATAAGAAAAAGACTATCTCTTCATTGTACAGCTATTATAAAATCCATTAATATTTAAATATTGTATGGATTCATAATCTTTTTCTTTCGGACTAATTTTTCGATCTCTTAACACATTTATTATTTTTGCCAAAATACTCAGTCTATAGTGAAGTCTGTCAAAAAAAGTGAGCGAATATAAATATTCGCGAGAGAAAGTACAGTAGCGTGCTTGTTCATTTTACTTTTAGTTCTATAGGCAAGATTGTAAGAGATGTAATACTGGCTCAATAGCGTAATTTGGTAGTAATCGGATAAAGCCACGGCCCTGCTCTATACTTGGGTATTATTGATGTGATTAAACCAAGATTAAATCTCGATAAAATTAGCCGAAAATCCCTGTAAATATTTTATATTTTTAAGAAAAATCTGTTGAACACAGAAAACTAGTCATATAGGTATATTCGAGTGCTAACAGACTAACACAGATCTTATTACGTCTTTTGCATTTATAACACGTGCTTGGCCAAGAGAAATACCGCTCCAATTTCATACCTCGGTCGAATCAATTTCAGTGAAGCATTTCTCATTAAGTAAACGACTAACTCTACTAGAGGTACCTATTACCTACAACATAAACTTCGATCTTAAGTATGTAAGTAGATTATCAAACTAAATTGAATGTGTATAGCTTTATAATACAAATTATAAACGACGAAAAAAAGCGCGACGACTGATTCGTGGATATTATGAAAGGGCTGTACGATGACAGTGATAAATAAATACTTTAACTCGGAAACGCTCAACTGAGTACTTTCACCTTCTGAAAATCTATACAATAATTGTATTATACATAAATCGAATTTTTACGCAGTACATTTTATTCTTTAATATTCTATTTATTTATTATGAGGGACAGTAAAGTCTCCTCATGATATACAATGGACGTGAATGTAAATGTTTATAATAGAGCATGAAAATTTCGAGATTATATTTAAAGTAAATTCTGATGGATGGAGTGCGATGATAATCACTTGTCGCATCGAATTTTTTTTACGACTTACCGATTCGTGATCAACGATCAAATTACAATTAGCGTTCTGGTGCAGAATATACGAGAATGTAAGAAATAAGAAGGGATTATATGTATATGTACTTTAGACTTTGGTTTGCAGCTCCCAATACGTTCATATCGCGTTGACTTCTCATTACATAGCAAAAACGCAATATTGACGAATATTATCCTAAATAAACTACGATACATGAAATGACCTGCGATTCACTTATTTATGTGGAAATTTGTGGCGAAATCCGTTTTGTACAAATTTAACAAGTATTTATTCACGCACTTGTTGCATACATACTTTTTCACGATCTTGGCAGATTTCAAGCTCCTTCTTTGGCGTGTGTGCGATTAAGCAGATAGTCAAGATCGTGAGAGATACGATCTAGCATACCGCTGGTCGCACTGTCGCAGCCACCTGTCGTTACCATGATCTCGGGTGTCTTTTCCTGGCCGTCAGGTTGCTTACGCTCACTCGTGTTGGCGATATCCGGCATAGCGCTCACTACGTGCTCTCGGCTCTTCAGTTCCACGCTTGTTCGCGATGATAGTTCGACGTCACTTTTCACGGCCAATGTGACATCTGGCATTGCACCTAATCGCGATTCCACGTCGGCATTACAGAGGACCTTGGCCGAAGACTCGGGGGATACGCTCACCGTCGGCACGAAGGTCTTGCTGTCGCTACGATACTTGCCCGATACGTCACTACGAAAGCTGCTGCGATCATTAACACTGTAGGCTACTACATCATTGGCACAGTGAGAGCTAAGTGCGGAGAATGCAGAGTCGACGAACACTTCTTGATACTTTCGCGGACTCGTGTTGTAGTTCTCAAGATCGACATTGTCCGAATGATCTATTCGGATCTCCGGCAAGAATCTGGTCGTGGGGACGGAGGACTTGGCGTAGGCAGATGAAGACTCGGATACAAAATCACGCATATCTATGCTACCCGCGGCGACGCCTCGCGCTTCCCGATATGGCTCGACGGCGATTGAAGACGACGTCGGGGGAGTCGCTGAATCGTTTTCCACCTCAGCGTCAGCTTTTGAGCACACTAATGAATAATATGAATAATATGAATAATTTTGTAAATCAAACTTTGACGTTTTTTTTAAACAATAGTTTAATTCAAAAAGTTTCCCTTTGATATCATAATGCATGTCAATAAATTCACATTACCTTTAATGGGTTCGGACGTATGTTCGTCGTCCACATTGCGTTTCCATCTGATTCTCCGCAACATTGGTCCGATAATTGCATTCTCGCCGTTAACAATATATACGATTATTATACTGAAGCCCTGCGCATCAATAGTTAGTGAATAATTTTAATATATTTATTATTTAGCCAATATAAATTATCGTTTGCGAAGATATCTTACCAGAGCGAAAGATAGAGATGCAAATACGTAATGGAAAATTACAGACGATGAATTTATGTAGAAAATAGAGGATGCCTCCATGGCGATGATGCCGCATATGACGATAGCTGCGCGATGCAATGTTCGTATTCTGCGACGAAAAAAAAAAAAGATTTAATGACTTGTAAAAGAGTCACCAAAATTTTACGAAACAATCTAATAGATCTATGTACCTTGTTTCTATAGCTTCTCTCTTCATCACATTCTCCTCCACTAATGTGTGAACTTTGTGGAGCACCCCCATATACAATAATATGAATACTAAAAACATCATCGTGGCGCAGCTGACAAATATGTTATAGACGCCGCTGCCATATATGAGCCACCAGGATTCGTGTCTCCATCCCGTACTCTTATGCGTTAATTCAGTTGCAAACACAGCCAAGATCGGAACGCCTAAGAAACATACGATTACAAGTAATGCTCGACGCGTTTCAAAAGATCTAGGTTTAGATCTAAATCATACCTGTTATTACAGCGATCACTGTAGGCTGAAGATGTTGGCTTGGTCGAATTTGTGTGAGCTCGGCATATACTATTAGAGCCTCAGAAATAGGTGCAGACATGCCCACGAGGAGGAACGCCTCTAATCCTATCGCCACGAGCGAGTAAGATGACTGAAACGAAGAGAAATTAATGACGAAGTATTTGTATTAAGTTTAAGATTCGTATAACAATTTTATAATTTATATACAATTTTTCTTTATAATAGGACATCATATTTTAACGAGACATAAATTATAGAATTAATGATGTAAATTTTTTTTATAAACAGACATGATTACCTCTGGAAGATTAGTATGGACGGCGTAAATAAAGATGGCCATTGCGCCTATTAGTGCGCCGCAGCATTGGAGTTTTAGAAAATTCAGCCAGCTTTTGTGTTTTTTCCAAAAAGTGCCTAGTATTAGAGCAGATAACAAACACTGAACAAGGCAACTGCTGCATCCGAATATTATAATGAATGTCGTTTGCTCTGTTTTCGCCAATACTACCTATAACGTTCAAGAAATTCATAAATGGCGATAAAAACGTGGTTTTTCGCTTATTATATGGAAAATTATGTGTAGATAAACTACATTATACATAAGAATTCTAGGAATATGCATTCCATAAGTGATAGAATAACATGGAATGTTAAAACATAGCTTTTCTTAAATGAAACTGTATTTACTTTTACTGCGCGAGTTGTCAAGAAAACAGCTATTGTCCCCGTAGTAGGACACAAACAATGTGTTACTGCATCGCCAGATACTGTGTTTGCTATGCAAGTATCGAGATCCCACGATCCAGTGTTGTCTATTAGACCGCATGATGTGTTCCAGGAACTTGTTTGATTTTGTAAATGCCGAATTTGCAGATCAATCCATATCTTGTTATATTTATCGATGCCAAAGGAGGGAATTGCGACGGTGATTATTCGAGAATTAATGCGAAACTCTAGGTCCGTGCCATCACTAAGGTGATAAAATTATTATATGTATATATAAATTTGAATATTTTAACAAATTGAAAAAATTGATTTTAGTTTTTTTTTTATTGATTTTAGTTTCACTTAAATAAATGTTCGAATTCATAAAATTAGGCAGGCTTATTCTTGCCTTTTGTTCGACTTTTTTTTTTTTAAATAAATCAACTTACTCGAGTTCTTTAATATATGCTGTTGGTATAAAGCGCGACATATTTTTGTACACGATAACAATTCCGGTAAATGTGTTATTAGACTTTATATTACGCTGCTTTTTCTTCCATAATCGTATAGCTACTTTGTCTTCGTACCAATCAGGATACCTGTCATAAATAAATAATTTATTAAACTTATTATAATAGATCTATATGGATCTATATAATAGATCTATAGTAGATAATATATAAAAATATTACATATAATCGGCGGAAGGTATTTGAAGAGAATGCGTTATACTATCTCCATTCTGAGATTGTAGTTGCTGAATATCTATAACCATAGATGATAGAGACAGATGTTTATACATATCTTTCAGCTGTTTGGACCAGTGAATTAAATTGCGTTGCGTCAGCTGAAGCAACACCGACAGTTTCTAAAAACAGGTGAAGATTTGGAAGTTTATAATTTTGTTATAAATAATGGAAAAAAGAGTAGTTTTGCATATAAAACAGATTTAAGTAAAGAATGCTTTTTATAAATTTTCTGGGTGATCAATTGTTATTTTTTTAATAAGACTATATTACGACTAAACAATGAGGTACTCTGCAGTCAGCACAATTTTTGAAATAAGCTTTATGTTTGAAATTAAGCCAAAAAGATTGTTATCTTACTAAAAATTAAACTTTTCTTTTTACATTATATTTACATTATCTTTACCTCTTGACTTAAGATCGAATATTCATCGCTTAGTATGCGATTTATTATGTGATTCAAAACCTCTGCGGAGTTGTATGCATCCTGTGGATCGATACTGTGCTGATATCGTTCGATTTCAGCCAACATACTTATTATACGATCACCTTCGCCAGGATAAAGCGGCAATGCACGTTTGCGCAAGATCTCCCAAAAGGCGAGGATCGTGTCCGAACTCAAAATTTTTTGGTAACCCAATGTCAGACTTCGAAACTATAAATTAGAACGATTTCGTAACTTATTACTTTGATAATAAATTTGGATCTTTAATCAAGTGTATAGCAAATCAAACTAGTCAGCTTTGATTGTGAATCAAAATGCGAACATTTTTATTAATTTCCTGTTTTATTTTATATTAAAACATATAATGGAAAATTAAATAATTTTACATTTCCATCATGTATTCAATGAATGTTAAAACTTAATTAATAATTAAATCATTAATATTACAAATAAAATATATTATATATACAAAGACCTTTTAATTTTTACGCGCATTCTTCAGTTTATTTTACAATTAATATTTATTTAAAAATATATTCCACACATTATATATTACTCTATTAAAAACAAAATCATTTTAATAGATTTTGAATAAATTTTCTCGGTTCCTCGCGAAACAAATCAATTATAAAGTATAAAGAGAACAAAATACTTACATTGTTATATGGTAAAATCAACGGCTCAAATAAGCAGAATGAAAAATCCGGTATTTGCCATTCGGGTGTAGTAGCATCTTTCATCGAACAGAGCCTGGACACTCGTCGACCTACGAAATATCGGGGGCATTCTAGCAGCGCTTCTGATCCTGGTGCAGTGTCTGGCCATTGCAAACCCCAGGACTGCTCTTTAAAGCATATTGGTATCAGCGTTCGATTCATGACTTCAACTCGCACAGACATAGATTTGTGCGCTACATTGCAGGTGTAAATCGCTGATTTCTGAAAATACCAAACAAACTACTTTATATCAAATAGATCAGTCGAATTTATCCCCATTAATATTTTTTAATTTTATCACTAAGAGTGTTTCATCCTTCAAAAATAAAAATGGACATGTATAAAAAATATATGTTCTTCATTTTGGTCTAGATAACAATTACATATTAAAAGAACAAAATCGGGAACACACTTTAATAATGTTCTTTGTAAGTTAATTTTAATTTAAAAAAAGGGGAGAGATTATGTTATCCTGCATTGAACTCCAATATTTAGTCGAATAAAAAAATCAATGAGAAAGCACGGGGCTTGTACCTGAGTATTAGTAATCTTCAGAATGCTACCCGCTGGATACAAATCCTCCCAAACTGCTCGACCGGGTTCTAATTTGAGCAAGGCGCGATTTTTCGTCCAACCAAAGCCGATCCCGATGTTACGCATGTTGGGAGTCATACATGTTAGTTGTATATCGTTGCCCTGTAAAGAATTGTCTAGCAGTGTTAATATATATCTTTTTGTTTTACATTTTAATTATTTGCATTAAATCTATTTGCGGTTTACTTTCTCTATAGAGGCGCTCATCGGCACCACTTTCACGTCTGGCTCATCCCTGACCTCAATGTAGATACTTTTGCATTGCTGCACACCCCAGTCAACTACTTGACAGGTGTACTGACCGGCATCGAGCAGGGTCGCCTTGTCGATCGTCAATATTGATGTATATAAATCCGATCCATCATTCGGTAAATGATTAATCCAAATTTCTCTAAAACAGCAAAGCACGATCGGAATAAGTATTAAAATGTGAAAACCTTGCTTTCTCACAAAGAATGAAGTACATTTAGATAACATATTTTAATATTGTTACTTTAATTAATTGTTGCTTTACGAAATTGTAATGTGAACTCTGAAATGCTAATAGTGTTCGGTTACCTGATAGCTTTACTTGTGTTCACCAACATGCTGTCTTTGTACCAAGTGAAACTTATGCTGTAGCTTCCTTGAGCAGCGCATGACAAGATGATTTGCTCTCCCAAGTGAACTTCATAATCGTTCACTTGATTAATACGCAGAGTCTAAAACGCGATAATTTTTAGAATTTTTTAAATTATGCAACAATTAATTGCACTCTTAAAAATATTAATTATATGAATATATATTTTTTATTTTAATTAAAATTAACTGAATATATATATTTTAACTATTTTAATACCAATTCAAATCTTGAACTTCTTTTTAATAAAATTAAAGGATGCGGAGAATGATCCTTAAATTTCGAATTTTAACGTATTGTACGTGTATATATGATATACTTTATGTATACGATTATTTTGCTTTCGTGATAATATTATTCAAATACGCAATGTTATCATATATTTATGTAAATTGTAATAAATTACCTGTAATTTAAGCGCGGGTTTTTGCTGGAAGGTAAAGTGCGTGGATTCCAATGCAATTTCGCTGAGACGTCGACGCTGTACGAGTCGATTGAGAGATTCGCGAATTTTATCTCCGTCGTCGGAGTTGCCGAAAAAATGAAAAGTTACTTCGGCCGTTGGTCTGTTAAAGGAAACAGTAAAACAGTGACTGATATATAAAAGATGATCTTCGCGCGCGTATAGAGCATATTTTTTTAATTATTTCTCAAAGTGAAAAATATAAATAATTTTAATTTATTAGCAAGAAAAAGGAAGAGAATAAATAATCCAAAATATATAATCATTTAATACCGAAATCCGTTTTATATTTTACGTATAACTATACGTTTTATCCTCGAATGTGTACCTACTCACGTCACGTTCAGGATTTTTAATTCCTCCATGGAAGTGATATTGGAGTTCCTCAAGTATTTCGCAAGCTATGAGAAAAGTTTTAATGAATTAAGTTAACGCTATATTATCGATTTCGTATAAATAGATAGAATAAGATGTAAAGGATACAGGTAGACAGGAAATAAAAAAGAGCTTCGTATTTTTCTTACATCATGTAATATTATCAAATAATTATATTATACATTTAATTGTTCTTCGATACATCTCAACTGTCGATGTTCTTACAAGCAAACATAACAAAGATCAATTTGTTTTCACGACAAATGTATACAATTGACAGATATACATGTTACATATGCTAATTAATATTTCATATCCTACAATCATTGAGTAAGTGATTCCAAAAGAAACACCATTCGATTGACCACAATGATGACAGATCTGTTCTCCTCAGTTACCTCCCTGTTTCACACTCTCTGCATTTAAATAGAAATAAGTACTCGTATGTTGGAGGAAGAGGACAGAGGAAAATTCAAAGTACAGAAAGTGCTTTCAAACAGTTAAAATATAGCGAGCGCGATTGAATACATCTCGCTTATAAACATTTCGATATAAAATGTCCATTATCAGCAATCTCTCTAATGAGACACACAGGACACATTGCTTGCCGAGTTAAAACTCCCTTCTTCATCCTTTGCGTGAAGAATTCTCCCCGACACAGAGATCTCAGCAAAATACTTCGGCTTGTGAAAGACCGGCATGAAATCTGGCCCTTTAGTTTCAGCTCTCAAGGACGAGTCTTTATATTTCACTTCGGCAACTTCGGAAAATTCTTGTCGTCGCTTATTAGGACGCACGACAGATCCGTGTTTCCTGGACACAAGTACAATTGTATAGTCTCCTTGGACACGCTTAAAACTTTGATCCCAATCTCCCGGCAATAAGCCTCGAGAAGTGTCATCTGAAGGTGACTGGCCGCGTCCATCTCAATGTCGAAGGGCACCAGACAAATGCTCCCCCGGCTGTTGCATCCTCTGGAGTCCAGCTCTTTAAGGGTTGGCAGCATGCCGCACGTGACGGTGTCTCCGCAGCGAGATGTCTCGCACCGCGATGATTTCCCGCTGTAAGTCATCCTCGATCAATCATTTGCGTATCGGTTTATTATGTAAGCCGGCGCGACAGTGTACAGCAATACTTGGAATTGCCACAACGAGTTTCATGAATCACTATGACGTGGTAATTTGTACGCTTATTACGTGGAAGACGTAAAGCATTCCAAGATATAACTTTTAAATTACTTTGGCAATTGCTAAAAGATGATCTTTATATAACGTCAAGGATATGTAAAATTTCAAGATTAATTCTTCAAGTTTTAGATAACATCAGATAGTGATTTCTGCAAAGTCAAAGGTAAGGAATTTAATCTTTATTTTTTTTTTAAATTATATCTCCGATAAAATAATTTCTACGAAATCAAAGATACGGAAATGTGCAAGTTAAGATTTATATTGCACAATGTGAAACTACAATTTCTCATACAGAACAAACAAAACTCGGAGATAAGTCAGAATTACCTCGTCGTGACCAAGCATTTCTTTATCACTGCTAAGAGAGAACCACGGCTAACATGCTACTCCTCATTCGAGTGTTGCGTGTGAGCCACGTGGAAATCTCATGCAACGAGATCGTTTTTTTTTACATGACAATAACTACCTATCGGCCATTGTGGTCTGTACGTGATAGGACTGTGGTTCCTGGCAACGAGTCATATCGGTCAGTATCTCTGCTTGCTCGTTTGGTGGTTTAATCCTCAATGCACCTCTCTTGCACACTTCACTGAATGTGAGAATTTTCTTGGACTCGGTAAAGTCCGTCGAAGAAATTTTCAGCGTTGTTTTACAGCCACTGGAATCACTTCTTGCGATTTCTTCCTCCCTTTCTATGCTTTCACTAAACTTCGTTCTGACGCAAACTCGTGCAACACTCGCGTAACGTTCTCGTGGTAAGTCTCTCGGTGATTCCTTTCTGTTCTGACTACGACGTATGTATGACCTAGCAAACGTGGTGCGCACGGCTTTTATAGAGACTGGTCTCCCGCTACCGGCGCTAAGCCACTACCTCGTGACTCGTCACTGTCGTCCGGGCTGTCCCCTCCAGTTTCACGGATATTCCGTCGCGCCGGTCGCTCGGGTATGTACATAACGGAGCTTTTTATCGATATACACACCCGGCGCGGCGACTTTACCGGGAAACCCGAGGAAAAATGTGCGGATAAAGAAAGGCCAATCGAGTTGGAGTCTGTATATCAAAATTTCCCGAAGAGAGTTGAAAATAACATCGCTTTCATATCTTAGAACATAAGCTTTCTGAGAACAGAAAAAAAGAAATTAACAAAAAATAATAAAAACGAATAATAAAATTATCCGAATTGAGTAATAATAAAATGTAAAATTTATATGAATATTGCAGAAAGAGAAATAAGTGTGTGTACATATATATATATATATATATATATATATATACACACACACAAACACATACATAGACTTTAAGACGGATTAAAGATAAAAATTTGATTGAATAAAAAACGAATAATTTTATTCGGTAAGAAATTCTGAGATAATTAACTGTGACAAATATCAGCAATATTACAATGTTGACATGGAATGTGCTGATTTGCAGAGTTTCATGTATGATTCATTTTAAAGCTACTGGAATGTCATATTATTTGCATACAGATCGATAAATAACTACGAATGTAGTTTTGTTCTTTGCATATGTTTATGTTTTGTTTTAAGCGATTCGTTGAAACATCGGTCGAACGTAAGTTCAAGGTAAAATTATAAGAAACATAAGCTTTCGTGTTTTTGCATTTTCCTACACAATTATTATGCTTCGATTATAAGATGTGATATAAATTTAGTAAACATAAAAACATAGATACAATTAAACCTTTGCCTGTTTTATTTTATATTTATTGCGGCCCTTCTTTTTGAAAGCAATATTAAAGCCATGTAAGCTAAAGAATAATCAAAACAAAACAGAATCCTCACTGATTATTATTGGTTTTTCTTATATTTACAATTGTGTGAAAAATTAAAAAATTGATACTTTTTACTTCACAACTTTAACTATATTAATATTGGTAATGAAAAAAGCAGTGTTACTTTTAATGGTTCGACAGGCAATAAATATCTATGCATGATGATAACTCATATATGTACATGAAAAGTTATTCTAACAGTTCAGGCAGATTCAAGTAATTATACTTATTGATTATATTTCGCGTTAAACTCTTAATAGGATGAACATTTCAACGGAATCTACCGAGAACCAGTAATGTTAGAAAACATAATTACTTAGTAACAGAGCAAACAATTTCCATCGATGATGAGGAACAACGTTCATGTCGAGGTGACGCGCGTTTTACATCAATTTATATTATATCTAGCGATCTCATCGTTACGTCCTTCTTCGATCTTCGACACGTGTGTTGTTCGTGTGTAAATTGTCATGACACCCTGCCTTCTAACAAAGTTCAGAGTTCGAGAGAATTGAAGAATATTGCAAGAGCAACCAAAGTCTGAAAATACAGCACATTTTTAATACATTGTCAACATTTAATTGTTAGAAATTTCGAATTACTTTGTGTATGTAAAAGAGTTATAAGGATGACTTGTAAAATTCATACGTTTTGCATCACGTATGTATCTAATGACAATATCTTGTTTCATCATCTATGATCATCTGATGAGAAACAGCCACGTTGATCGACCGTTGCAACTATTTCGGTCAATAAATTTCATTTTGATAGACGACCTACGGTATCATGTATACTACTCTTAATCGATTATATGCTCTCGCATTATATTAATAATAGTGTACATTCTGTGAAGATGATGCAAGTTATGGATGCTTTGTTCCGTCATGTTTCATCACCCGTTTAATTTTAACGATAACGAAGGATTAACAAAATCCATCTGGCAAAATACACATCGATCGGGGAACTTCCTGATAAATACGTCACATGGCGTTATTTTTTGTGCAATGCAAAATCCCACATTGTCATAAAAAATTATAACATAATTATATAACATAATATAATTTAGAACAAAATAAAACTTTCAACACGATGGTTGTTTACGCAATAATCTTTTAAATTTATTTTTTTAAGTCTTATAAAAGAACATATACTAATCTAATAATTTTAAAAACATTCATTATTAAGTACTTAAAAAAGAAACACAAACAATAAAATTACAACAAAATATTGATATAAGAAACAATGGAAGGTACATAATCAAACACTGAATGTAGTTCTATTATATGTATAATAATAATTTCAAAGAGATGGTTATATGAATTCTGTGCCTGTTTCTATTTTGGTCGTAAGATCGCAGAAACCGAAGGTTTGCTCTCGTAATCATATTTATTGCATCGGTCACCCTCTTTGTGTTAACGAATATAATTGATCCTGCTAATATTGCCACGAGGGAGAAAGAAAGAGAATGCATGATATTACGCAACAGACGCGCTTATTTTAGGGATATAACAAGATTATATCGAAGATTACATCAATTCAGAGAACGTTTCAGTAATTATTATAATTTGGAAACATAATATATGCATTGTAAGAAAAAATATTCTTAGAAATTAATAAATTTTTCATAATCAATACAGATTTATTATGTAAATGATATTTAAACAATCTAGAACTAATGTTGACAGTAGAATGGAAAATATTTTTAAATTCTAAATTGTCCCAGTAATTTTTAGATTTTTATTTTGAGACTTTTTTAAAAAAAGATATTAAAATAAAAAGTTATTCAAGGATTTTTTTTCTAAAGACATATTTTTCGATTGAAATTAAATAATGTCACAAAGTACAATACTAAAATCGTTTTTAAATATTATAAATCATAACTAAAATGGATTGCGCTAAAAACTTACCTATTTTTTATTACGAAATAAAATATTGGTCAATTAAAAACTTTACAAGTGTTTTTTTTTCATATCTCTAAGTGATAAACGTGACATATTTTATAATTGAAGGATCGAGGGGAAACCCCAAAATATCTTGGATATATTTTGTCGTTTTTTAGTAGATATCTTTCTTCAAACAAGATATATAACTTGAACTATTTTTCTAATTATAGAAATATTCTACTATTCGTTTACAGCTTTTCCTCATTGCTCTCGTAAGTTACGAATGCTGTTTGCGTAAATGCAAATTTCTCTGGGGAATAACTACAACGTTGATAGAACCGGCATTACTTATTAAAGCATAATAAGATATTCATGTTTGGCATGAAATATTTTGAAAATACTTTTACTATCATTTCACAATATTTTATGACATCAAATTTCCAGGATATGCATTTTTTAAATAAATAACGAGCAAAATATTTTCTGTATTCAATATCGTCAAGTTAGACGCAACAACTAATTGATAATCTTATCGCGGACGTGAAGTAAACCATAAATTTATCATTATTGTGATATATTTCTTAAAAAATAATCGCATATCAGTGACTTTATCGAAAAACGGTAGTAATCAATGATTGTCTTTCTTTTTCTAATCTTTGATTTTGTATAACTGATTTGATTTCTAGATATATGTTTATAGACTTCCTCGGAAGTTGTACGTGATTTATTATATGAACAACTGATGATTAAAATTTTTTTCAGGTTTCGAAGATTATCAGAAGAAATATGTATTCGAAGGCGCTTTTTTTTACACGACAATTTTCGAACAGTACAAAGGAAATATGGGAGAGATTCCTATGTAATAGCCATAGAACATTGCTTAAAAGATTTCTCCAGAATTATCACGACGTGACAAATGTGATATTAAAAAACACTGAAATAACTCGCAATCATTTAACTCCAGAACTAAAATTATTCCTACTGACAGAGAATTGTCCTTTATATCACGAGCCATTCATTGATAAACGTATAGATGGAACACTTGATTTCTTAACTAGAAATGTATTTCAAGATCCATTTTGGTCTATTTATTGGCCTGGAGGCCAAGTACTTGCGAGATTCATTTTGGATGAAAAGGAAAGAATTTTAGGCAGTATGACACAAAATGTGAAAAAAGATGCAATAAGAATACTGGATTTGGGTGCAGGATGTGGTGCTGCGGCTATAGCTGCGAAATTAACGAATAAAATGTCCAAGATTGTTGCAAATGACATAAGTAAAGGTTAGTATATAATATGATTATTAACTTAAATGAAAGTATGTGACTATGATAATTTTATTCTTGAAAAAAAAAAAAAAACTTAAAAATTGATATTAAAAATGCATCATTAATACATGTAAATTTTATTGTAAATAATTCTATAATTTTTATAAATTTCTCTTTAAATATAGAATATAATCTTGTCTTAAGATTGCAATTAATGAGATATAGTCTTTATGTGTCTCATCAATTATTTTCAAAATAATTATCGTCTTGTTATCTTTGTTAAGAAAATGTAATTTTTAGTTATATATTTAAAGAATGTATATAAAGTAAAGTTACAAATTTGAGACTGTACGTACTCGACGTTCGATTATAATTGCAATGCCCTTGACTGATAATGTAACTGATAATACAAACGAGATAGATACACGTAAAAAAAATAGCATATGTGAGAGTGTTCTAGTAAGATAAATTCACTAATCTGAAAAAATGTGAAATGATCGAGATATCTAATTGTAAGAGTCATCGATGTTGCAATATCTGTGATATTACGGTAAATATGACATCATAATATTTTTCAATTATGTAACTGCGGTATAACATATATTTCAATTTTCCGAAATTCTATATGGAACAAATAACTATTTTAATGATTTTATAACAAATGATAAAAAGGAAAATAAATTATCCTTGGAAAGTATAATATTACATAATAAATAAATGTTCAATCGATTATAATCAATCGTACAAAACTGCATCAAAAGATTGTAACAACTCGTAAAACTTTCAAGATAAATATCATGTTGCACAAAATGAATAACAGCTAGTATTCACTTGCGTTTGCTTGTTTCCTCGAAATGACGAAAAATGCGTCGAAAAGGGAACTTTCGTTTCGGACAGAGTTCTTCGAACAGAATTCGAAGAAGGAAAGAAAGAGGATACGTGTTGTTCGAGGAATGGTCCGTCTCAATTGCGACTCGGGCTAAGATCAAGAGAGCGAAGAAACGCGTGCCAATGGCGTAATAATAAGT